CCCCGCGCGGGGCCCGCCGGGAGCTCGTCTCCATGGCAACAGCGGGGCCATGGCAACGCCGGGCCGGGCCGGGCCGGGGCCCCAGCGCCTCTCCCCGCGCCCCTGGTGCCCCCCGCCCAGGCCCGGCTCCGTTCAGCCCCGCCCGCAGGCCTCCCCGGCGGCTCCCCCGCGGCCTCACGTCCGAACCCCTCGTACTGCGACGGTCCGCGGCACCGTCCGCCTCCGGCCTGCGTGGAATCCCACAGGCCTTACCCTCGGGGAGGGTGGCGGAGCTGCAGTGTCACCGAGCCACCCAAAACCAGCCAACTCCATGGAAGTTACACGGTCAGGGAAGGACTTGTGGCACAAGGAGCAGCTTGGGGGATTGAACTTTTGAGTCTCCGGGATCCCTGGTCCCATGGGCTGCATGTGGAAGCACACCGACACTCCCCTGAACAGGAGTCCTCTGCGCCGGGGGAGCAGCACAGGACATCAGCCCCTGCCTGCCTCCAGTTCCCAGCAGCAGAAGCACCTCTCTGCTAAAAACATTCTTTAGCCTCTGAACAAAGACTCACAAAGTTACATACAAAGCTGTGAGCTCCCACTTCAGCCCAGGCAGCTGGCGCCTTGAGCCCTGCTCTCCACTAGGAATTCAGGTTTTGGATGCTGATGTGGGTTATTTTATTTTTTTTTAAAGTCTGAGACAGACCACAGGTATTATTTGGACAATCTAATTCTCCTCCAGTCTCACCTGAGGGCTGGCTACACCTGCAACAGGAGCCTGTCTTCCCCCACTCGCCTTCCCCAGTGCCCCCCCGCCCAGCCTAGCCACAGGAAGCAGCTGAAAGCTCCCGGCTCAAGCTCTTCCAGTTGGGATCACGAGCTCATGAAGATCACTCAATGTCACCCCTCCTGAGACTCCCCCCCCACTCACTCCAGGTGGAGCTGGACCTTTCCTTTATCCCTCTGCAGAGTGACAGCCTGCCACTCACAGATGGTGCCACAGCAAAGAGCAATAAGCTCCTGCTGAACTGACTGTGAGTGTCCCTGCTCTGTTACTGACACCACCCACCCCAGGCAGGCTCTCCCAGATACAGTGGTGAAGCATCTCCACAGCTGCCACCAGGTCTGAAACAGCCCCAGTAACCACCATGGAAAAGCCCAAACCGAGCCCCTGTCTTGCTGCAGAGCCAGCAAGAGCCAAAAAGGCCTGGCCAGACCCTGGGGTATGTGTTCGACGGCCAAATGTGGGCACCCATTTTCCAACTACCATCACCAGTAGCCAGTGGTCCACCCCATCCAGGGAGCAAGAGGTTTTTGTAGTATTAAAGAATAGGGATCTGGACTTGCTCCTTCAGACCTTGTTCACCCGGATTTATCTTGAAGAACCTACTGTCCCCCTTTTTCTATGTCCCACCTCAATACTGATCGCAGGGCGTGATGAAGGGCCAGACGGTGTTTTCCTACCCCCTACACCAGTCCCTGATGGCCAAAAGCAGCTCACACCCAGCCCAGCATAAGCTCAGACTCAAGGCCAGCATTCAAGCTTGTAAGGAGCGGTGCAGGCGGACGGAGATCTGGCTTCATTACTGAAGTTTTCTGGGCCACAAAGTACCTTTCATCCCACAAGACGTGCCTTCCCTCTCTCCGCAGGGAACAGCATAGAGCCACTGCACATCAGGAGCACAACCAACCAGCAGAATGGCCCCAAGAGCATCCAAACCCAGACCAGATGGTTTATTCACTTCATATTTATTTTTCACAAAGACTGTACAAAATTCTTATAAAACTCTGGTGTGGGGATGGGCTATGACATTGATCCAAAAAATAATTCCCATGCAGTCCCACCAGTTTCATAACTTACAAGGAAACAGACAAGCTACAGAGAGCTGCGAGCCCTGGAGTATTTACACCGAGGAGGGCAGGAGAGGAGACAAAGCAACACACGAACAGAGGTATTTACAATATGGACATACAGGCTCCCTCGCCTCACGATAGCGGCAGCAGCAACAGCAGGAGGTTGGGCCCATGGTGCTCAGAGGCCGATATAGAATATGGGCTATTTACAGTATCTCACATATTAACAGCTTTACAAGCATGTCCAGGGAGTTCTTCTCATGTATAAAAAAAAAAAAGCACCAAGTGTCTAGAAATCACACAGGCCTCCACGGGGGCTAGAATCTGAGGGCAGGCTGGCACCTCTGGCGTCACCGGCTGATGTCTCTGCTAGAGTCCCACATTTTTGTGCTTGGCTCCATCTCCAACACGTCAAAGAAGGGGTGCTTGAGGGCTTCAGCCAGGGTGATACGCTTGGACGGCTCGTACTCCAGCATGCTCTCAACGAGGTCGAAAAGGCGGTGATGGTCCTCAGCCTCAGAGGTCAGGTATCGCTGGGGAGATGGAGGGAAGAGATGAGGGCCAAGAACACTGCACTCTGTCCTGGACACGGTAAGTTCCCTGGACTGAATGGCTAAGCTGGGGAAAGACTGGTTTGTTCAGATTGTGACTCATCCTAGAACTGAGCTCTGGGCCACTCTACCAAGCACGGAACTGCTGAGTTTTCACCCTCCCACCATCTTTCCCAGGCACTTCCTGAGGTCTCCGTGCTCTCCTCCTCCACTTCAGATTATGCTCAGGCTGTTGCAGTCTTCCCAGTTTATGTCTGGGACAGCCAAGGCTCCTTCTAGAAGACACTGATCTGACCCAACCTTGCCCACAGGAGAATCTTCACATCACTGCACTACAAGACTCTGCAATGAGAAAGGATAAAGCAACTGGGGGCTTCTGCCCACCCTGCCTTACCCGCAGTGGCTTGCAGTTTTCCCTAACATAGCGGCCAGCAGAGGTGTTCTCGTCCCAGTCCAGGCGGCCATGGTAGAAATATTTCTGTTTCCTGTCAGAGTTAGAGGTGGGGAACAGGTTACACCCAAGCACAAAACGTTTTGCAGCAACAGCAACATGCCAGTCCTGGCAGCGCACACTGCTCAGGACACTGGCTCAGCAGGCAGCTTCAAAGCTCGATCCCTCAGAGAAGAATCGCTACATGAGAAGCAGGAGAGAGCTGGCAAGCTTGTGGTGCCCAGTCGGCCTTGCTCACCTCGTCTTCCGGATCATCCGAGAAGGAATTGGCCCCAAGATCCTCTCCATCATGGCCAGGTGCTCCCGGTTGTCATGTGTCTGAGAGAGAGAAATGTAAAGGGAAGGCATGGAAGAGATTCCAGGCGTTCTACCTCCAGCCCTGGGTGTTCCCCAGTTCAGAACCCCTCGCTGGGCAACACCTCCGTCACCTCTACAAGACTGCAGTGATGGAGGAAACTCCATCAGTCCCAGAGGCTCCTTGGCTGTACTGGGAAACAGCCAGCATCCTCTTTCATCAGCTGAGAGGGAGCCATACAGCACACAGTTCTCACCTGAAACAGGGTGAAGCCCACATAATACTCAAAGATGATGCAGCCAATGCTCCACACATCACAGGGCTGGCTCCAGCCAAGCTCTACAAAACCAACAGTTTTAAAATAAAAGATCCAGTATGACCTAAGATTCCAAATCCCTCTCCCTCACACTTTTAAAAACAAACAAATAACTGGAAAAACAATTCCCATTCCAGCCAGGCTCCTGACACGCTAGTGGCAATATACTGCCCGGCTGGTAGCAATGCCAAATCACCAACTCATAAGTTGTTGACCCTCCCAGAAAATAGAGAGTACAGAATGTTAAATAAAACACTTCTCTCATCTCCCAGGGTAAAGCCAAGAGACCATTATGGAATGAGATGGAGGCAAAATGCTTCTTAACCCAGCAGGCAGCACCCAGAGCCCTCCTGACCAACGCCTGGCTCTGCAGAAAGAGCAAGCGGTACCTACCCAGTATGACTTCGGGGGCCCGGTAATGCCTGGTAGAGACAATCGTGCTGTGATGCTCATGGTCAAACGTGGCACTGCCGAAGTCCACCACTCTGATGGCTGTACTCTTCACGCTCCGCTCATCCCGCTTCTTTGGGAAGAAGAATGGTATCAGTTACTCGGGAGTTTGGAGACGCAGACTCAGCCCCTTCCTTACACAGCCACGGGGTACCACGGGAGGGGAAGGCTTCGGAGGGCACATTAGTGCAGCACAACCCCAGGACAAACTCTCACCATCGCACGGGTAAGCCTGTGGTCCCTATGGCTTACTTATAGACTATACAGGCCGTTCATGCAGGATAGAGGCCCTGAACAAGTGCGTGATCATTGTTGGTCAACCCTGTGTCTCCTGGGGCCATTTTCTGACTCCTCCCACCTGCTGATAAGGGATGGGATGCCAAGAACCCAAGAGAAGACCCCTAACACATTGCAGCACCGTTACCTTTTCCAGGTTATAGGAGAGTTCGTAGTCAGAGTTCACAAAGAGGATGTTCTCCGGCTTGAGGTCAGTGTGAGTGAGTTTATTGTCATGCAGAACTGAGGAAGCAAACAGAGCTGGGGTGAGGGAACAGAAGCAAAGCAAGGCTGCACCTACACGAAGAGCGAACACCATTGGTTCAGTTTGCTCACACCGGCACCAGTTTAGCCCACATTTAGAACTGTCAGGCTAGTCCAAGCCAAGATGCCTCGGCAGAAGCACAACGATTTATTGTATTGATCACTAGAATGTGTGTGTGGAGGCGGATGCTGAAGTGCCCTGAGCTACTGCCAACCCACATGCATCAGAAAACATTACAACCAGGAAAAAGATTCATTCCAAGCACGCATTCACTGCCGGAGGGGCGGGAAGGCTCAGTCTCAGAACTGGCACAGTGGCACCACAGCAAGAACTTGCTGCTTTGGGCCACCAGTTGAACTGGCCCAGATGCTGGGAGCTCCAGGTCAGTCAAGGACCAGCAGAGAGAAGAGCAGTGAACACTTACATTTCACAGCCTGGCACACCTGGTAGGCCATGTGCCGTACTTGGTGGATGGGGTAAGGCAGATAGTTGTTGTCCTTCAGGAAATCAAAGGTGCTGAGCCCCAGCAGTTCGAAGGAGATGCACATGTGGCCATGGTAGTCAAACCAGTCAAACATCCTGACACAAAGACTGAGAGAAAAATTCTGATTCGGGACAGATCTGCACACACCACTTGTCTCTGCTATCCCTGCGCCAGGCTCCTCCTTTCATTGCTCAGTCTGTATCCCATAGCAAGCCAATATGCCTCCAAAAACTAGCTACAAACAAAATCAGTCACACATCAAAGTACCTCTCTCATCCCATCCCTGCAACTGTGCTAAGGCAATGCTTGCCCTTCCCTTTTACCACCAAAAGCACACTCACTTTGTGCTCTCAGGGTCCTTCTCGTTGATTTTCTCCAGCACGTTAATTTCCAGTCGAGCAGCCTCTTTGTATTTCTCTACGTTTTTAATGATTTTGAGAGCAACACGTGCACCACCCCTGGAGGAGAAACAGGAGAAAAGTACAACATCACCCCTGAGCTGGGTCAGAGAGCCTGTGACCCAGCCTCATCCTGCGCAGCAGCCTCCCACCACCCTTGCTCAAGCCAGAAGTGGCTGCCATTAAGGGGTGGCCACCAAAACGGCGTCTTTTCCCTCCCCGAGGCTCCCCCAACCCATCTCCAGCACATGGGCAACCCAAGAGGGTGAGTGCCCAGACCAGCAAGGAATACTGGAAACCAAGAGGCTCAGTTTCACCCCCAGGCCTCCCCGATAAGCACAGAAGGCTCTGTCCCCAGCTGTGGTCTCTCTTTTCCCCTCACCCCCAAAGTCCCTCCCCGCCCCAGGAGCGGACGTACCTCCGGTGATCGATGCACTGCACCACTCTGCCGAACGTGCCTTCCCCTAGGGTGCTAATAATCTCATCTGCGAGGCAGAGAAAGAGAGGAAGGGAGATGAGAGAGCGAGCGCGACCTGGATGTAGCGCATACACAAGGCAGAGGAGAATGCATTGCAACACCTAACCTGCACACAGCTTGGGAGACCGGAGCAGCGGAAGGCTGACACCGGCTGCACAAGGCAACTTGCCCTAGTTCCCTGGCACTTCAGTAACAATACAAAATATAAACGTAGCTTTAACAAAAGGGGAAGGAAAAGGAGAGGGTTTCTCTTTAATAAACAATGAAAATAAAATGAAACAGAAAGATAAGACAGATCTGCGACTGCGATGGGAGCTTAACTAGAGAGCTAAATTATGTTACGATTTGGCTGTACATCTTTCTTGTAGCCAGTCGCCGACGCGATAGATCAGATGCCCCTCGTCGTCGTCCTCCACACTCTTGGCCCTTCTGCTGCTCTGTCGACTCCGCTGCTGGCCCAGGCAGACAGGGAATTCATCATTCACCAATCAGATTTTCAAACCAGCGCAGCAGCCAGCGTCACGCATTGGTTGGTTTGGAAATTCACATGGTTGTTTGAGGAGGGGTTGCAGGAGGAGATTCCCAGCCAATTCATACGGCACAGAGGAATATATAACGATAGGGATATTGCAAGGGAACATGTCAAGATACAACACACTAGCTCAGAAAAGAAAAAAACAGTTTGCTTTTCGTTGTAGCAAAAAAAAAAAAAAAAAAAAAAAAAAAAAAAAAAAAACACAAAGTTTGGGGGAGTCTCTGCGGGGGGAAGCAATACCTCAACTGGAAATAAGAAATAAGAAGAGCTCCTCAAGGCAGCTTTCATTAATCTGGAACTTTTATCCTCGAAACGTTGCCGGGGTTTAAACACACTAACGAAAAAAAAAAAAAAACATTTTTCTTTTCTTTTTAGAAAAAAAAAAAAAAAAAAAAAAGAAAAAAAAGAAAAAAAAGAACCTACAAATAGCCCCACCCGAACCAGTGTGAGAGCAGAGACGGTCAGAACAAGGACTAGGAGAGGGGCAGTAGAAGGGGCCAGCTGCTCTCGCTTCTAGAGGGGGCTCAGAGAGGAATGGCACTGGCCTTCGGGTCCTGGATAATGCCAAGAGAGCACGCCAAAGCACAACTCTGCAGCCGGGCACTCAGTGGCTGCGGGGAGTGGCTTGCTTCAGCCCCGCAACAGCCACTGAGGAAAGGCAGCAGAAGGCAGGCGCTGGGAAGTCCTGCACGAGCAAAGGGCCAGGCTGCGCCACACAGACACTCCCCATCCCATTCCAACAACCGCCCACATCACTTCCCCCAGCCCCCACACTCAGAAAAAGATGAGCTCAGAGATTTCAGAAGCCGCTCTCAGTACAATGATCCATCCACAACCAGAGAGAATTTACAGTAACTGCCTGGGGAAGATGTGACACTTCTAGACCCTCCCCCAAAAGAAGCTGATCCTGGAAGGACTAACTTCCAGGAGAGAAGCAGAGGCCCAACAGGGAATAGGGACAGCCTGGGATGAGGCAGATAAGAGGTTTATGCCAGAGAAGAGAAAATTCCTGCCTTCAGTTCTTCAGCTAAGTATCCCCACACCTGGGAGCAACCAGCCAGCAGACTTGGGACCCAAATCCAGCCCATAATCCCATCCCTGAACATACAGCCGGAACAGACCAGACAACACTGAGAGCTCCACACACAGAGCAGAGGATGTGTCTGGGGTCTAACAGAAGTGGAAGGTGAACAGCAGAACAGATGAGAAGAGAAAGTGAGAGACACTGCTGAGAAGAGCCTGTGACGGTTGCTGCCTCCACCTGAACTGACCGCTCCACAAGCTCTACTCCCTTTGCAAAGCCCCTCGCACGACATCCCACATCAGCTGGACCCACCCAAAGTGATCCTGCTCTGACGCAGCACCTAACCCTCAGAGACAGAGGGGCTTCCTGCCCGAAACCAGGGACCAAGCTGCCTGTCGCAGACAGACTGAGCTCTCTGGCACCAGGACCAGCTGAACATTTGCTGTACAAACCTCACACAAAAGACTGCTTGGCTGGGATTTCTAAACAGCTCTTAATGAGCATCATGAAACAAAAGCAGCGGTCTGCAAGGATAAAGGAGCTGAAGACTGCAGCACTACCCCAGGGGACATGCCAGCCTCACAGGGCATGCCTGTCCTCCTCCCACCTCGGAGCGGGCAACACTAAGAGAGGGTCTGAGCTGCCTGTGCCCAGCTGGCACAGGGCAGCCACTACCCAGGCGCATCAGGATGGTGGACAGAACTGCTGTCTGCATCAAAGGCTGTCTACACATTTCTCAAGCTGAGTCCAAGAGTGTTAGAAAGTGAGTTTTCTACTTACCCAGCTCGCCACCTGGGAGAGAAAGGTTACAGGGGAGGCCCGGCACAGCAGGATACTCACCGATGAGGAGCGACTAAAGGACCGGCTGCGGCGCCGCCTCCGCCTGTGCTTACGCCGGCTGCTTTTGCAGCTCCGGTAGCTGCCCTCGCGGTCCCGGGAGCGTCGGTACTCGTAGGAATGACGGTACTCGGGTTCATAGTAGGCTTCCCCTCGCTCACGGCTGTAATCGTTCCGCCGGTAGCTGTCACAGTAACGCCGGTCATAGGCCCTCCTGTCTGCTGAGTGGTCATCATAGCTAGGGAGGGGAAGCAAGCCCAGGGAATTCAATTATGAACACTGCCCGGGACGTTACAGCTCAGAGCACACGAGAGACCAGGGCCCGGGCCACCCAGAAGCTGGGTGTCATGACCACGGTTGCCTCCAGCCGAGCTGGAGAAACACCGTCAGGTTCACAGTCCCACATCATCTTTGCAGACTCACCTCCTGGACCGAACATGGTAACTATCTTCCCGACGGTGCCGACGGTCACGCTCGCTGCTGCTCGATCGCGACCGTGTCCGCCGTCTCTTGTGTTTGCGACTTCTGTAGCGCTCATGATAGCTGCCTCGGCTGCTGCGCTCCGATGAGCGGTACCTTCTAGAGTGAGGCATCTACGGGACAACAGATGGGGATGACTTTGTGAGGCAATTGCAAGGGAGAGAAACCAGCACAGTCAGTGGCCAAGGTACTGCAAGGGCAAGGAGGGGGAAGGCAATTGGCAGCGCATCCGAAAGGGACACAGGGGATCTGAGAGGGATGGGATGAACTTCTGAGAGATCCCAGAACCCTATAAGAGAGAGGACACGGCCACCCATATGGTCTGTGCTTGGTGCAGTTCTGTTTTCCAGGTTACTTTCCCCTCTTCACCCCCCATCTCTATGGGCCGCAGCTCAAGGAGCAGCATTTGCACCTTCAGGACTTCCACCTTCTCCCTTTAAACTAATTTTCTCCCTAGGAAGGAGAGAAGCACCACCAAGGAAACCCAAAGGAAGGTGAAATGATGCTCAGGATATCACCAGTGCTCGGTCCAAAGTCCTTGCACACCAGTCCTGAAGACACCAAAGCAGGCAGCTCCTGAAGTGACATCTCCAGTTTACTGCCAATCAAGCGATATCTGCGCTTCCCACTGCAAGCGGGGAGGGCCCTACAGCATCCAGGGAGCAAAAAGCTCCTTTCTGTGCCTGGAGGTGCTAACAAAGCCTTGCAGACACTACCTCAGAGGGAAGGAGTGCTCACCTCTACCTTCCTGGGGGGACGCGAGAGTCAAGAGCAAAGGAGAAAACATCCTTGGGTACGATGGGACACCAGGTCCCAACCCCAAAGTGCTGGTTCTTGGGATCCTGCTCCCACCCTCGCTCCGTGGCTCTAAGACATCCCCCGCAGGGATCTGGCTCCAAAGCATCAAGCAGCTCAACCTGCTGCATCTCCACAGGAGCTCCCTTTGTCCACACACCTCCCACCGCTCATTTCCCCCCGAAAACGTTCACTGGCACAACCGGCTGCCGTCCCGCACCCACACCGACGCTGCCGCTACTGCCCGGGCCATCAGCCGGCTGAACCGGCCCCGATGATGCCGTGTCCTGGGGGCATGGGCTGTCACCCCCCCGCGGGCTTCACCTCCCCGCACTAGGCCGGGCCGTGCGGGGCCGCTCATGGACCATCCCGGTTCTGCGCCGGCCGCCGGGGCTGGCTGCGCCCACGGTTGGCACCGCCTCCAGCCTCTAATTACCGGCGGCGGCGGCGGGCCCGGCTGGAGGCCTGCCGAGGCCCAGCGCCCTCGTTAGGGACGGGCAGAGCCCGCACCGGGGCGTTCCGCAGCAGGTCTGGAACCGGTTTGGGGACGATGATGGCGCCCGCCGGGCGGGGCCTCCGCCGCGCGCGGGGCCGCGCCGGGCGCCAAAAGCGGAAGCGCTGGGGCCCGGTCACCGGGAGAGCCCGGGGACGCAGGAAGGGGCGGCGGGCGGGGAACCTGCCGCCCCGGCTCCCAACACCCGGCCGGTGCCTCCTCCGGCCATCCGGCCCGGAACTCCCCCCGGGCCGTCGAGATGCGGC